GGACATCAAGCTTTTTACTGATGTCATTTTTCTTAACCTCAAAACAAGGCTCATGGGTAATTAATATAATTCCTGCTCCCAAATGAGGAACTCAAATCATGAGACAGTAAGCAACTTTCCCAGTGCTGTGCTGTTCCTTTTGGCTGTTGGTTTACTCTGCTTTATAAAGTGTCGCCAGGCATGCTTATGGTTATTCAGATTTGAAAATCCTGGGGTCACGCTGGAGAGGCCGCCTCCTTCGCTGCCATCCGTAGTCACCAGTCTTACAACTTTTTGGAGTTTCTCTTGTAGTTTTCAGTTCTAACTTCCAACTTGTTTAGTAAAACCTTTATAACCTGCAGACCCTTGAAAGGCTTCTTTTGGTTTCTTTATTTTTGTATTGAAGTAATATCTGCAACTATATCTTATTGTAAAAATCCAAAGTACAAAGAATAGAGAATGAACTCTAAAGTCCTTTGTAATCGCTGTCACTACTCTCAGGTAAGTTGTGGTGGGTTGGCTTTTAGGAGGTAGACAGAGGTGGAACATTCTAGATCAGTAGTGCTGCAGCGGGCTGTCATCCCTGAAAGCTCTTAAGAAGGTTCACCATCCCTGCTCTAGATAGATGTGTAATATTCTTATTTCTACAATTTCCTTTAAGAAAATCCAATGCCTTAAAGATCTTTTTATGTAAATGCTACTGACCTTGATAAGTGCATAGACACTGGATATTCACAAAATACATTTTAGATTTCAGTCTCCTTTCACACAAGTCAAATATTTTCTATTTAGTTTTCATCAAATGGAAGCATTTCTTTCTCTCATGATATAGGTTATCAAAGGCATCCTTTCCTTTTGGTTATTACTAGTTAAGATTATTTTTGTTAAACATTAATAAAATATAGGCATGCATAAATGTGTGTGTATTGTGTGGAGTTATTTTCCTAGATCATCTTTCACAATGAAGTGAGAGGCTCTCACTTATTGTTAGGTACACTGCGTATATTTCTAGTTTTTTCACTGTTTCTCAGTAGTTCTCCAACTTTAGTGTGCATCAGTTTTCCTGGGAGTCTTATTGCAACTTTTATGGCTGTACCTCATCTCCCAGGGTTTCTGTTTCCAGAACAGAAATGCTCAGAATAGAGCCCAGGCATTTCCATTTCTAATAATATTCCCCATGACGCTGATGCTTTGAGGATTGCCAACGTGCATGGCTGTCCTGTGATGCTGACATCTTGTGCAGGGTTTAGCTCCCAGCCAGCACTCACTGTTTACTGACCTCAAGAAGTGCAGACTAGGGAGGGGGTGGAAAATGGCGATGGAGGTCAGGTAGGGATGGAGTTGGGATTTCCTTCTGGAATAGGGCAAACAGGAACGTTTGGAAAGCAGAACTGATGAGACCGTGCTAGCAGCTCAGAGCTCAAATTAGGGGAGAGTTTTCACATGTGCAAAGGGTGGAATGGGCTATTGTTTTTCCCATTATTCTCTGTAGTGTCACATGCTCTGAAGACTGCAACCTGTAACAGGCATGTTATTGTTGACTACAAGGGATGGCATTATTAGATTGCAGTGATATTCCACTACATTGAAAAAAACAATTCTTTATTTGTATTCTTCCCATCATGAAGAGCTCATCCAAGTAAAATTCCAGGTATTATGTGAACTCACGCATCCAGTCTAATATTTGTAACAGTTTTATCATTTCTGCAGACTCACTACTGACGTGACTTGGCTTATAAAACAACTGTACCCACACCAATAAACTTATCATGTACAGAAATTGTCCACAGTACAACTGTAATGTACATACATAAAACTTATACAATGCAGTGTTTGTGCTTGAGAATGAAGAATAGGAGATATAATCACAGTTTTAAGTATTGAGTTTGTTAGATAAATTATAATTCATGTAAAAGTTTGTATCTCTATATTTTGATAAAACATTTTAATGTTGATTTATAATTAATGCAGTCTGAATCAGAAAAGTGCATTGACTTGATCGGCATATTTCACCCATACTATTTTGCTGGGAATATTTGTGTTAAGAAATTTTTCCAATTGCTAGTTTAACCATTAATTTTCGGTAAGCATGCATGTATTCATAAAATTTTATATTGGTTTTTAAAACTTTATACAGATGATATTACAAAGGTATCTATCATTCAACTTCCTTTTATCCCTGAAATTTTAAAAAATTTCTGTATACTATTTCATGTAATATCCATGATCAAGTTTATTATCCTATTTTGGACATTTAGGTTGTTTGAATTTTTCTTACATGCTTGCATGAGAGAGAGAGAGACAGAGATAGACAGAGAGAGAGAGACAGAGAGAGACAGAGACAGAAAGAGACAGAGATAGAGACAGAGACATAGAGAGAGTCAGAGGGAGAGAGACAGAGACAGAAAGAGACAGACAAAGAGAGAGAGAGAGGAAACTCAGGACCTCATTAATGCTAACAAGTGCTCTCCTACCTGCCTATATTCCCAGCGTTTGTTTTTAGTTTTTGAGTTCAGGAATCCTGTAGAGATGCTTCTTATTCTGTGTCTCCTTGAGCCGATACAGCGAATAGTCTGGAAGTGGACTTCAGCAATGCCTACACATTCAGCCTTACTAGATAGTCCTGAGTTTCCCTCTAAACTTGCATCAAATTATACTGCACTGGTATTGCATGGAGGTTTCATCTCACATTTTTCCAATACCTAATGATGCAAGAGTATTAAATTTTGGCCAGCCTGGGAAAGTGTAAACTTGTGTTTCTTTGTGGTTTTATGGGGAATACAGTATTTAATTACTAACACAGCTAGAAGGTGAATTTCTGTCCTTTTTCTTTTTTCTTTCTTTTTTTTTTTTATCAGTACAGGGGGATTGAATTCACGACCACCTGCTGGCAAGGCAGGTGTTTATGTTGCTGAGCTAAATCCCCAGCCCCCTGTCCTTTTTATTTTTAATATGGGCTTTCCATTTCCCTAAACTAATTATATCCTTTACCAATTTTACTCTGCTTTTGTATTTTATTGATTTTAAATCAATAAAATATAATCTAAATACTTATCACTTTAAAAAATATATTTAGGAAACATTTTCTTCAGTCTGTGGCTTGTATTTTATTTCATAGTAATCTTTTTGGTGTAGAAGTTTTAACTGTGATGTAAGAAATATTATCTTTTTCTTTCTTAAGGTCAGTATGTCATTTTCTTTTTTATTCTTTGTCCCAGTCCAATGTCTTCAGAAAGTCTTAAAAATTTGTCATTTACATTAGACCATTATGTAAAATTTTTGTATGTGCTGTAGGCAGTATCTATATTTTTCATGTGGATTATTAATGGTACTAGTATCATTTATTGAGTAATCGGTCCTGTCATTACTAATTTGTATATTTGAGTCTATTATGCTCTTTTGCTGTTCTGACTTATTTCTGAGATTATAAAAATGCATTTCTACTTTTCTGTGAACTCAGGGTGAACTCCACTTCAGAACACTCCTGTGCTTTTTATGGTTTTAGTTGAACAAACAACATTCTCTGGACATCAGTTTGGATTTGGAAACTGAGCCAGTAGAGTCACGATTGTGTAGTGCTCCTGTCTCCAATTTTCTGCCTTCTGGGGAATAGATTGCACTTTCTACTCTCTCTGCATTTAGGCATGACCAGGTGGCTTATTTACTAACAAGATGACTCCTGAGTAGAAAATTTAAATAGAAGCCCTGGGATTTAGCATCATGGAAGCATAAAGATAGCCATGCCCTCAGTGGGGTATTCAGAGTACAACTCCATATATCCAATAAGAGAAACGCATATGAGTGAAGAGGCACCTGTTGCCTTAAGCCACTGAGATTTTTAGTTATTCATATTGCAACACGACCTGAATTATCTGGACGAATGTAGTTAACATGACGTAGTTTGCAGTTTTATAGCTGGGAGAATAATGGACAAACACACTCTATTCATTCGGAGGTAATATTCACAGTACCATCTCTCTCTTTTTTTCTAATCCATTTTCTACAGCCTCCCTCTAATTTTGTTGTTAGCACTCACAATCTGAAACCCACAACTTGTCAAGCAGTGAGGAAACATGATGGCCTGTGTCTTCTCTCCTAGCTGTATTTTTTTTCTTTGTGTCTACATTTCAGAGTGTCAGTAACCCATTGCTCTCTTGTGTTTGTAAAGATGGTGTCTGAAAAGATGAGTGTTTTGTCTAAAATCTTTAATGAACATGCTCATTTGTGAAAAGCAGGTGTTCTCAGATTTTGCAGGTTAGGTCACACCGGTCCCTACCATTTGCTACACATTTCAGAGTGGCTTTGATATTAGGGTCCCTAGTTCCTGGTTGGGCTGATTGGATTTGTCATGAGTGTGTTGATCACTGATTTCTGGAAGGGTAAGGATAAGATGAGAGATAGAGGTAGCACCAAGAATATATTTCCCGGGTAGAAATATCACTTCTATACAACCATCCTACTGGTTAAAGTTTTATTACATTACTAGATTCCTCCTACATGTTCAAAATCATAGCATGTGATAGTGGGTTTGGGCCATAACGGAAGTGGGCAAGAAAGGGATTCGTGTCTGGAGAAGTGCACTTTTAAATGTGCACCCTTGAATGCGAATTTCGTGAATCTTTTAATTGGAATATTTGCCTCCAGACACCTAGAAGGTGAGGCCTCAGGCAATTTGATAGCAGTGAGGGGTCATTTTAGGAGCTGACACTTGCAAGCTTGCATGGCAAGGTCTGTTCATGGGCTGTGGCTTGGACAGGGGAGAGTTTAAGATCTCAGAGTGTAGGGTAAGAAAGGGTTTTGCGGGGGTGGGGCATTAGCCAAATTTCTGCTCTGCAATTTACTTTTATTGATCCTGGTATAGTTACTGACATCCTGAAAAATCACCTCAGGTGTCAAGAGCTGCCATTCATATCTGTAATAATTTCACTAAGAATAATGAATGCTTCTGACTTGGCCAAGATTCTCATGCCTTTGAAATGAACGTTAACTGATAAATTAAAGTTTGCATATCTCTCTTTTAGGTGGTTCTTTGGAGCAGTCAGTAGAGCAGACGCAGAAAATCAACTGTTATATCCAAAAAACCAGACGGGCGCCTTTCTAATCAGAGAAAGTGAAACCCATAAAGGAGACTTCTCCCTTTCAGGTAGGGGCAATGTTGTGTGTGGCTTGACTGTGGGTTTCAGAGGCTGTAGTGGTGACTGCTGTGTGAACATGTGCGTGCTAATTTTAAACTTTGCCCTGTTTCAATTCTTTAGCACCGAAGTTAAACCTACTGAACTGCTCAGGAGAATCTACTGAAATGCTTAGAAAATTCTTATCCATGGCTAGAAGCCCACAAATGGTTCCAAAAGCATGCACTTTGGTTATGATACAAAAAGCATATGAATATGGTTACATTTTCTTGTCTTTGCATTGTTTAGGCTCCTTTTAGGGAAACAATAAAAAAAAAAAAGAAGCAAAATTTCCCTGTTGTCGAAATTGATCTTTCTGAAATGTGCATTTTTCTTTTCTCTCCCCCCTCCCCTCCCTTCCCCTAACCCCCTCCTCTCTTTTCTCCTTTCCCATCTTCTCTTTCTTTCTGTTTCACTTATCTGTTTGGTAAATAGAAAATGAATTGAAATGCTGAATGAAAATGTTCTTAATGAACTCCTTTTTCAACTACAGGCCACATGCATGTTTATAGTGCTTAAAAATAGGCTTTCAGGAGACCTAAGAAATATACTGAGTTACAAACGATTATTCCACATGTGTCATTTTTTAAACATCTGTCTTTTCAGGTATATTTAGCAATACTTTCTACACTAGTCTGTCTCTAATATACAAGACTTTCTCTTTTATTGCCCTGTTCTAATCTCTGTATTATATGGGCCTGTTTTTTGTTTTTGTTTTTGTCTTTGGAAATAGGATCTCACCCTGTAATTCAGGCCAACCTTGAACTCAGGCAATCCTCCTGCCTTGGCCTCCTGAGAGCTGGGATTACAGATATGCCCACCACACCTAGCATGTTATTGCATTATCATGCTCTTTAAATGTTTACTGTTTCTCCAAGTAGATAAAAATCCTGAGGGGAAGAGACTTGTCCTCTCTTTATTCTTATTATGCAACAAGTGTTTACAATGCATGATGTTCATGGGCCTTGTGTTAGCCAGGCTCAGAATGAGGGCAGTCTCCCCAGGCCATGCTGAGGTAGGTCCAGTGCCCACGTTGCTAGGAACCCTGCCCGACCTGGCCTGAATTCTGGCCAATTGTGTTACGTGGCACCTGTTATCCTGCTGTACACTGGGTGGTCCCAGTGTCAAAGAGGATGAGTAGGAGCTGGAGAGAATCATGCAAAGTGCTGAGGAGACAGGTTTTCAGATGGTCTGTGCCTAACACTGGCACTGACTCAATACGGTAATTCAGAATTATATGCATTCAACTTACTCCTACTTAGCTCTATGGATAAGAAAAAAATGCTGTTCTGATAATCATTTTGTGTTTTTGCTATGTGGTGCTGTCAGCCTTGACTCCCTTCAGCTTGCAGTTCTGTGCCTCAGCCTCCTCGGTGCTGGTATTAAACGGCCTGCAGAGGATATGGCCCTGACCCTTCCAAGGTTGCTTATAACCAGATGGCAATCAAAATAGTTAACCATGGGTATTAGCTGTCCAGCACAGATATTCTACCAGGTTAGGACTTTACGCTAGTGCACATCTGTATAAACTTAGGTACATAGAAAATATTTAATGTAATATGTTTTAACAAAAATAAAAATTACACAAGCAGAATAAGTAAATGAGGAATAATCTATACTATCAGTCCCTGAAAGTACTTTTAATATACTTAAATAATTTTCTTTGCAAACTTTTTTATTATTGGCCTGTATTTATATTTATGCATATATACTAAGGCTTCCAAATAATAAAACAAAATTGAGACCAGCTTCTAAATAATGAAATATATATGTATGAATATATGTCTGTAACAGAAATATGTAAACCTAGAGCTATGTATGTATGCATAATATAGATTTTTAAAAAATTTCCATCTTGCAGTGTCCTAGGAACTTTTTGTTTGAAACAGGATCTTGAAAAGTTTCTAAATTCCCTAGGGTAGACTCAATCTTGTGATCCTTCTGCTGAGGCAAATACACTGCCATGTCTAGATTCTTGGGAACATTTTTGCATTACTTTTAACAGTCTCTTACATTGTTATTTTTAGAAGCTATACAGCATTCCATTTTGTTGATTTCCATGTTATTTGGTTTATTTTATACTTGGTACATTTTTGTTATTTTCAGTTATTGCATTGTTATAAAATAGGATACATCCTTGTAAATTTGCATGGCCATATATTCAGAGGTAGCAAATGGAGTCCTTGGAAATTCTTGTGCTATAAGAGAATTCCTGCTTCAGATGCATCTATCCTTGTTTACCTGCCCTTGCCAATTTTTATCAATTTTAGGTGGTAGTATTTACCCAAAAGCTAGATTATGATATTTAGATTAGCATTAAAATATAGAATAATATTTTCATGAAGAAAACAAACTGACTTTCACTTACCTGACCCATGTCTTTGGATAATCGTTAGGCCATGATGACTGTCCAGAAAACTAAGAATATTTTGCAATAAAACAGCTTTACAGGCTTAGAACAAAATTGCAAAGACATTGGCCGCTATAAGTTGGGAATGCCCGAGAGCTTTCTTGTGGATTTAAGAAGCTTTGTAGGCCTTGCTTGGAGACTGGCAAATCATTATAGATGCTTTCTCAATGAAGTCAAACAATTTAGATCCTTTCAGACAAATTATCGGGTTGCTATGTGTTCACTGGAGGATAAAGTAAACACATCTTATTAGGCCCACTAAAGGAAAATTCTCTTATTAGTCTCAGGGAAGGCTATATGGGAAAAAAAATGGCAAGAGAGATGTCTTCAGTGTATCTATATTAAACAAACAAACACATATCCGGTTGCTGACTGTTGATAATCACCCCCACTCTTCAGAGGAATCACTCATGGGTTTATTTCCTAGTGCAGTTTTTCCTTAATCAGTCAGAACTGATGCTGTTCAGTGTTGCTGACTGTGGTGCAGCTAAAGGAAGGCGAATAATACCTTTTCCTCTCACTGTCTGTCCCACATGCCTGTTCCTTGCAAGCACTGCCTTTATTCCTCAGGCAGCAATGCTCGCAGCTGTCAGTGAGGGTCTCTGGGAGAAAGCATGATTTACTGATGCCCAGGGTCTGGGGAAAAGCAGCCGTCCAGGGATGGGGTGGGTGCTAATTGGGTTGTTGTGATCCCTTTGTGGCTGTCTGCTCTTGTGAGGTCTGAGGAGATCAGAAGCAAGAGCGAGGGCCATGACACCTCTCCTAACAGCAAGACACTAATTAGCTGTGAATTACAGCAGGCTTTTGGATATTACATATTATACTTTGTAGCCAGAGAATCTGTCTTCATTAGATTCCTGACAGGTAGTTTTAGTGGCCCGATTGTTACATGTTATTGGAAGTGAATTGTTTTTCTGATGAAAAATGTAAAATTTTGCCTATATGTTGACTGGTTTGGCTGCTTCTCGACACCAATTACTTAAAAGGAAATTATTATCGTTATTAGTAGGAATACTAATTTGACGTTTGGTGTCCCATAAAGCATTTATATTTATTGTTTAAAGTATGGAGATAAAATTGAGCTGCAGGTGAGTTTTTCAGAAAAGATTCTGCATTGTACATTACCATTTTAGTTTAGGGAATTCTTCATATAAAAACCTATGGAGCAATAGAGATTTCCAGATTTCTTCACAAGGAAATCCTTTGAAGAGCACATGAGGATTGATGATGCCAATTGAAAAACTGACTATCTTGAGAAGTGCCTATCAGCGGTGCATCTAGGAGCTCATTTTATTCACTTGCACATTTATTTCTTTGACAAACATTGATATGCCACACCCCCCTCTAAGTGCAGAGCAGCAAAGGAAGGGTCCTGGTCCCTTCCATGGAGGAAGCTTGCAATAGTGCTGTCTCCTGAGGGAAGAAGGGACAGCTGCCACGTTCCCCAGGGACAGTCGCGGAAGACTTTCTGGAGGAGGAAGTGTTTGTGGTCTCTGTCAATTTCTGTTCAAAAGGAACAGTGTGGCAGAGACCAGTGATCAGTGTTGTGAACACACCTGCTGCTTGTGGAGTGTTTGAAAGGGTTGAGAACAGTGGTGTGTGTGTGTGTGTGTGTGTGTGTGTGTGTGTGTGTGTGAAGGGAGAAACAGAAAATGGTCACAGAAAGTTTGATTTACACTGTTCAGAGCTTCGTATGACATGCTGTGGAATTGGGGCTTGTTCTGCAGAGGAAGGTTGGGGCTGGAAGTGATTGATCCGATCAGTGTTTTAGGAAGTTACTTCTGATAGGATGCATGGATGAGACGCTTCTAGGCAGCAAACTGGGGAGCAGGGAGAAGGGCAAACTCAGTGGCATGTAGATCACCGGTGCAAGGAGAGCCCAAAGACAGGGATGAAAGGACCCAAGTCAGCATACTAGATCTCTGCTCTGCCACAGGGCACCCCTCAGAATGAGGGAGGCTGGACTATCACTTTCTTACTGATGGGACAAAATACCTGACACTGACCATTTAAACGATGAGAGGCTGATTCCTGCCTGACAGCTTCTGGGTTCAGTCTGTAGTCAGGGGCTGGCTCCCAGGAGGAATGGCGTGGTGGAGAGGCTGGCCTCAGGCAGCTGTCCAGTCCTGGGCTAGCGAGGTGGAGAGGAAGGGAGAAGAATAGACCCTGGACCAGCCTCTCAGCACTGTCTCTTTTGAGCAGACCCAGTCAGGTCTGACTACAAGACTTTTGGGGGGCTTGTAACAGGATCCCTCTGTTACTCTTAATGGGGCAAATGTGGGAATGGCCTTAAGTTTCATGATGAGAGAAATGCAATTTAAATGCAAATTAAAACCTCACTGAGATTCCATCTCACTCTGGAAAGAGTGCCCAAGATCAAGAAATCTACAACAACAAATGCTGGAGAGGCTGTGGGGAAAAAGGAACTCTTCTGCACTGTTGGTGGGAGTGTAGACTGGTGCAACCACTGTGGAGGTCAGTCTGGAGGTTCCTCAGAAAGCTGGGATTGGAGGCCCTATTTGACCCAGTTATGCTTCTAGGCATATTCCAAGAAGAATCGAA